CTTATGTGGTGCTGAGGAATCGAACCCAGGGCCTCAGGCATGCAAGGCAAGCGCTGTACCACTGAGCCACCTTCCCAGCCCTTACTGTAGATTTTAAATGTACAGTTATCTGCTGTACTTTTAAGTACAGCAACTGACCTGAAACAAAAAAATTAAAATTAGGAGAGGGGAATGATATTTATCAGTCTGTTTCCAAATTCCGAGGCAATGTACCTTAAACTGCTATAAATTATGAAAGATTCCTAACTTCTGAAATCCAAAGGGCAAGGTTCTTGGGGAAACATAAAGTAGGAGACAGCAGCTCAGACCAGAGTGCCTTGCCCACCCCAGGTGCTATCAGCGGCCACAGGACTGCATGCTAACCTCATCAGTGGAGCTTCTGAATGTTATTAGTGCACACTGCCAGCCTGACCTAGTGTTCTTAATCTAGGAGAGGGAAATGAGAAACTGGAGGTTAAATTGAAATGCCTCAGACTATCAGGACCCTCAAAGGAATAGGACTAAAGAAGTAATGAGACACTGATGTCATCTCCATTGTGGGAAGTGTTAAATTATTAGTCTGTCACTAGAGGACTACTTCAAATGGAAACTCTTGAAGAGGTGAGTCCCATTGCATAGGTCTCTGCACCATCAGGGTATATGAATGTGTCTTCTAAAAAGTTCCAGTCTTGCAAAGCAGAAGGGCTAAGGAAGGGGCAGAACATCCAGTATTAACTACTTCTCAAGCTATGACTCAGTCCAGATGCCTCCAAAAGGAAGCATGTTTTACACCAAGTAATTCTTTGAAATTGCCATGTGGAATCTTAAGTCTTGGGTTCAACCCCAAGTTGGTGAAACCATCTTTATTTAATGAACCACTTCAAGGGACAGCACCCCTTTTGCCATTTTTGTGGCTGCCACAGGGGATTGCCCACTCTTGTGTCTATTCTCCTAGTCTCTTGCTTTTTTTGTTGTTGTTGGGGTGGGGGAGGGGGGTCCGATCGTGGGACCTGAACTCTGGGCCTGGGCATTGTCCCTCAGCTCTTCAGCTCAAGGCTAGCACTCTACCACTTGAAGCTACAGGGCCACTTCCGGCTTCTTTTTGCTTATGTAGTGCTGAGGAATCGAACCCAAGGCCTCAGGCATGCAAGGCAAGCGCTCTACCATGAGCCACTTTCCCAGCCCTAGTCTCTTGCTTTGTCCTCAGAGCCACCTTTGGAGGTGGAACATGGAGCAAATACCAGCAGGTGGCCTTCCACTTAACACTAGTACATGGCTTTAGCTTCTAGAAGGCCAAGTGTGGCTGCAGTTTGGCACCTACCCGAAGCCCATGCCTGCCTTTTATCAGGTGAGCACAGTGTTGAGTTTCCATGCTGGTGTGACACAAGAAGCTGACTTGGATTCCAGACTTTCCTTCCCTTCACGATAAATGTCTCATGTTCAAAGACCTGAGGAGATGGCACTTAGTCACCCAACTAGAAAGCAAAGCGACATCTAAAAACACTAGGAGTTTCGTAGCAGCAGACAAGGGAGCCCATGAGAAGATAGCAGATACCAGAAACTGCCAAAGGTATCAACACGTGTAACAACTGTAGGGACAGAAAACTGATACAGGGACAGTGACATCTCCCACCAGCTCTCCGTCACAGCCTCAACACACCTGCCCACAGAACAGCGATGAGACCTGAAATCAATGATAAGAACCAGCAGGCCACATCCCTGTGCCAAAGACCCAGGCAGGTAAAGAAGCAAAAATGGCTCCCTATGACAGAACTCGGGGACATACACAGATGACGGGGGAGTAGACCTTGGCACCAGTATTAAAGTGCGGGATCACAGTGCCCGACAAATGCGATGTGTGTACAGGGCTGACTTGGGTCCAGCGTACCACAATTTTGATGGAACAAATCAAAAGAGCAGCAGTAATCCTCAGTTTCCCTTACTTAGGGAAAAAAGAACAGCTTTATAGAAGGTCTGACGTTTT